GTTCTTGCCGTATTTAATTACAGACAAACAATCTCAGAGTTTTAGTAGTATATAGATAGCTGTAACATTATATAGCCCATTGCAGTACAGTACAGATGGAGATGAAATCTAGATAGTCATCATAACTTTGTATGGAAATTGTTGCTGTCACATTAATAAAACATCCCAAATAAATTAAAAACATCATAAACGTACATTATTAGTGTTTTTCGAGATATATTATAGTTTTTGGTTCTTTCACTTAACAGTTTGGGGTCAGTATTGGTCATAAATAATAGATGTTAGGAGCTGTAATTCATAGTCTTTGCTGTTTTATATGTTGTTGCAAGATGTGTGATGTAAGAATATCTAAAATATGAAGCTAAGTTTGTGTCTGTTTGCACCTTTCAGCCATATGTTCCCTATATGTTTCCACCTTCTTGATCAATTAGCACCAAACTATACACAGTAATACAGGATAACATGAGGAAGGTCATGAAGGGGTTGGACCCCCCTATCTCCTATATAAATAAACATTTATGTGTGTGTGTTTCCATATTTCTTTATCAATCAGTACCCAACTTTACACAGTGATATGGGATGACATGAGAAAGGTTATTATTAGGGGGGTGGGGATAGAATTATTGAGAATTATTTTTATTTCACCTGTCTGTTGGATAGGTACTCCAGCTAGTGTATGTAGTGTAGTGTAATATCAAGAGTATTATGTTCATGATGCAGCTACTAGAATATGTATGGGGGGGGGGGGCTTCTGCTTCTAAATTACAATGACTACTAAGTATATACACAATACTAGATTGGAAGATACCAAAGAACATATATAAACAAGAAATCGAAATATGGCATAATATTCTCTAGTTTTTAATCACACTTGAATTGGTATGTGCCTTTTTCTTCATATTCTTGTAATTACTATGTTAGTTTCAGATTTCTAGTGTAATAAATAATCTACAGTAATTACGTAGAGATAATGATGACCATATCAAATAAATTTAGCTTTATATATATGATTTGTGAAGATTCTTTTCTTTTGTCAACCAAGACTGTTTTACAAACTGTATATGTAAGGGTTCCATAGTATGTTCAATGTGTATACTGTATAGCACATGGTCTGACATTTGTCCCTTTCTAAATGCTGTTGACAACTCATTGGACATTCAGTTATTCATATATGTGAGGTTAGGTCTGTCCTATAACATAGTTTAAGTTTCCATTTTATTTTATAGTTCTTTCTCAATCCTGTAACTAATATAATTTTCAAAATTGTTCTACAGCTTCGAGTTTTGACTCCAGACTATTTTGTTTGTTTTTTCGTGCACAGGTATGTGCGAATAGTCTTTGGTAGTACATGCTGACCATTATTTCAGTATGGGTTAATATATAGAATGTCTGTTGATTTATATGCTCTGGAAACTCCTTTTTTTTTCTCATTTCTTTATTTTGCCTTTCTAAAGAGTTTTGTTGCCTTATTGAATTTGAAGAAAGGTTAGAAGTGAATAGGAAATTAGTACTGTGGTAGAAAGCAAAGAGTGGTGATAAATGTGCATTTTACTTATCATAACTGTGTGATTAATTTAAGGGGTATGTTTTGTGCATAAATAACTGGTGGGCCATGCCAGTGAAAGGGCATTGTCTATATTACATTAAATCAGTGTTTCTTAACCTGTGGTGCATGCACCCCCTTAAGGGTACAAAGTGTCATTTCTGGGGGTGCATAACATGTCTGCGTTTCCATTACAAATAAGGTTTCTCCCTCAGACTCCTGAGTTCACTTGATAGTAAACTTTCTATACTTTTCAATTGAAACTATGCAACAATAGCCATTACAAATTTTCTCAAGCTAGTCGTTAATGTTCCCATGGAAATGAAGCTTCTGTTATAATTGAAATTGACAATCTATCTGTTCGGAACACAATGTAATGTAATACGTCATTCGATAGATGGAAACATTGATTTTCTATTGGTTATAGATGATATATAATTAAACGTAAGAGAGAGCTATTGAATCCTGAAAGTCGAGGGGTGCGAGGACATATTCTGAAAACCGAATGGGGTTAGTTCACTCTGGCCTCTTAGGAGAGTGGAATTATACTGTCAGAGTAACACTGATTAAGAAAGTCATACCATGATACAGCCTTTTTCTTTACAAAAATATTTTGGAATAACAGTGCTATTTTTTTTAGACGCTTCTCTGGGCAAAACTTCAGGGCTAGTGGGCCATTTGACTAAGATGTATATGAAAATGAGGCCTGATATACAGTAAGTAACTTGGATTTTTTCATGGACTAGATTACATAAGAATTTGCTGGTTTATTATGATTCTGAAAAAAAACTGGTTCTAATTCATTACGATCTTGGATCCTAGTGACTGGGCTAAGTCACAATAAGAGGCTTGCTCTTAGGGCTTGTTACATGATTCATAGGTAGCGGCATGTTATATCACTGCCTGGCCACACGTCATCTCACGTGCTATGCGCCATTGTTGAAATGCTTGAGAAGAAATTTCAATCTGTTATTGCTTCCAGTGCAGTTTTGCTAATAAAAAAGATATTACCATAACAAGTGGTCATAGGAGTGCTGTGTCTGTTCTAATTGTAATAAACACAGTAACGCCAGTTTTCACAGATTTTCTGTGTAAGATGAAAAGAATTGCGTAAAACTTGAGTTTGTAGATGCAAAAGAGTAGACATTTAATCTGTTTAAGAAGAGTAGTCATGTGTTCAGATCACTTCAGTAGTGATTATTTTGAGAAACTTAAAAGCTGAACTACTCGGTTGCAAAAGCAAACCAAGATTAAAGCTAGGTGCCATTCCCTTCTCTTCTGTTACTGCAGTCACCGAGTACAAGAAATGCAAGTGATAATGAAAGTGTTGCCAAGTGAATATGCGACTAGAGTGCAAATATGACAAATTTAAAAAAATTCGTAAATGTTGTCTGTTTATCAGCTATTTTGGGTTCACAAAATAAATGGAGCTGGTATTGAAATGCGATCAAAGTTTTTCAGAGCAGTTCAGTGATGGAACTTGAAACTACCATTGAATTGCTTGGATTTTCTGACCAGCATAAAGATCTGCAAAACTAAGATTATATTTATATATATATATTGATATTTATAATGCAAACATTGTATTTAATCATTATAGTGTTTTACTATTCAAAAATTTAAAAAGTTGCTGACATGAGTGCTATGCGTCTGTCCATCGTTGTACAACATGCATGCAAAGTGGTAAGGCTTGGGGTTGTAGTACTCTTGTGCTAAGTGCATAGAAATTACACATTTGGGGTTTGGTTGTTTGGAAAGGACGTGTTTCTTGTGTGAGTGAAGCAATGGCATTGTATAAAATGATTGGTAATAAAAGTCTGATGCATGCAGATGGGTGTTTATCTCTTTTGAAAACAAATAAGAGTTCTGGGATCTAATGATAATAAATTTAGAGTTTATGAATAAGAAGGTTTTTGTTATCTTGTACAAGAGTGATGTGATCTTTTAAGTTTTGAAGTACATAATGTGAAGTTTTAGTTCCTTTATGACAAGAAGAATATGAACATATTGGAAAAAGTACAGTTATGGACTACTAGAATGAAACATGGGTTAGAATATTTAAAACTACAAAGAGGGTCTTTAAAAATTAAGATTGTTTTTCTGGAACATAGACCTAGAAAACTTATTCAAGTCTATAATTGTCAGAGACTTGGATAGCGAACCAGTGGGTGGTCCGTTTGAGTGGTAAAATGAAAAGTTGGAAATCAACACTTTAATATTAAGGGTGATAAGCTTAAGCCTTGGAAGTCTAGATGTAGACAGTTTTTGTAGGATTATTTCTCTGTTATGTGCTTGATAATGAGATGTTATGAATATGGTGTTAAAACTGGCATTCAAATGCTACATTTAGTTTTAACTTTGATACTTAAGTGGGCTTAGGAGAATCTAGGGTTACCAGACATTCCAGTAATACTATGATTGTCCAAGTTTTTAGCCTTATTTTGTTGTCTTGATCATTAACAGTAAAAATATTCAATTTTCCCAGTTTCTCTGTACCTCAGTGCTAGTTTGATATGTATGGTTTGTTATTATACTCGGCTTCTTTAAATATTTCTTGAATAATCACCTGACAAAGACAGATCATACAGTGTAATGTTCTTCTCCACTATGTTTTCTTAATCTGTCGTTGGGCAGCTGCAGGAATTGATATGAAAAACCTACTTAGTTGTGTATAATAAAACGAAGAAGCAACATTTTTGAGTGTGTTCAGTACAACTTGGGCAAATTTTTTTATTTAGCTAGATCAGTTTTTGTCAAATTGTTTTTGCCTTTGGTCTTAAAACTTGATGCAATGAACATCATATTGTTTAGCAAATATTAAGAAATATATTATTGTAATGTAAACTGTTTTAGAGTCTCCTCTTATGGAAAACTCAAGGTACCAACCAATGATTAGTAACTCGACAAGAAATTAATTTTGCCACAGGGGCACTTTTGTAGATGTTTTTATTCATATTTAAAAAGTAATGAATTATCATTCAGTAAATGTACAGATTACAATGCTGTTGTTTAGCTGTTAGAATTTCTTCTTCTTGAGAAATAAATTAGTTTATATTTTGTCTTTCAGTTTAATGCTTAGATTTACTGACGACGTATTTGATCCAGGCCTTTCAGCAACTATTGGTAAGTGATAAGAAGCTGTAAAAAAACCATGTTGTAATCAGATAGAAATTATAATGAACTCCATGATTTTTGTTAGTCCTGTTCTTTTTACTATCATCAGGGTGTGTTTTAGATAATTAATGAAGAACTATTTTATGAACATGTTTATATGGGGCATTGATACCTTTTTTTTTATATATAAAATTATCATATTGTTAAAGATTTTTGCAGGCGTAAAATCATTTTGTGGATAATTTGTGAGTTACAAATGTACAACTTCTAGTGTTAAAGAATTTTGTTTGTATAATTCTTAGACTTGTGTCAGTAAATATTTTTAACAGTATAAGATGAAAATCATATACTATTTGCAGTGTAATTCTGAGACAAAAAACAGCCTTTTTCTAAAACTTAGTAAATTAGTTAAAGTCAATTTGAATTAATGGAACATTGTAAGGGGAAATAAAAATGCAACAGTACTTGAACATCTATTTTTCAGCTGCTTTATTATTTCCTGTCTTCGTATGACACGTCTTTTTTAAAAAAACCTACCAGTTCCGTGGCTTCAAAGGTTACTCCTCGGGATGTAATTTAAAATAATACTTTATTGTCTGTTCCTTAATTCCTAGTAGGATTGAGGAGGAGGTTTGTGTGGAAGTGCTCTTAGATTTTCAATTTTGTAAATTTTGTTTACACCTGTATGTTCGAGATATTGCACCAGAAGCTAACAATAACTAGTACAAAGCTCTCCAATTTGTTATCTGCTATTTCAGATTATAATGCTAATGTTTCAAGTCTTCAAAATTGGTATGCAGAGGTTGTGTTCATAAGTTCATAATAATTGAATAAATTATAGGAAGACTTGTCAATCTAAAAATATTTTTTTATAGATAAATGTATGTAAAAAAAAACTTTTTAAGTAATCTGTGCTTTGCAAGCTTTATCTAGTTGCAAGCTTTGAATATAAGCATGCAACAGTTGACATTTTCACACTTACTTTCCTCAAAATAATCCTAGGCTTAGCCCTAGTGTCATATTTACAAACTATTCATTGAAGTATACATAAGAAGAATTTACAAAATTCATTATGGATGCTGCTAGTTGTAAAAGAATTACATTGTACTTAATCGAACCCAATTTCTGCTGGGAAGTTCAGTTAATGGGTTATTATATGGAAAATTTATTAAAATGCCAGCTCAAGTACACTATACTTTATTTAAAAAAAATTTGTAGATGTCATAATTCTCAGTGAGCAAACTTTTAATTCTAGGTGTGGATTTCAAAGTAAAAGTGCTGACAGTTGATGGAAACAGAGCTAAATTAGCAATATGGGTATGAAATTTTAATATGTTTAAATGAGTTGCACATATATTTTGATTTGATTCTTTTTTATTAAAGGTTATCATAACATTAATTTTGTGTTTCCCTAAGTTTTATTTTGTCACCTAATTGTAAAAAAATGGTAAACGTTTATAATAAACCTTTTCTGTTGTTGGTAAGATGGCATCATTATTGGACCTGGGTATTAACTCAGTTGATATAATTAATTAACTTACCCAAAAGCATTGAAATTATGATTAAATTGAACTAATCAGAATTAGTGTTTCTGATTATTATTGTTTTTAGTTATTCCAACTGTACAAGTAATCGAAATATTGCTATTACGTTTAAAATTATAATTTTTGATTAATTCTGGGTTGTTCAAATTAATCAGTTTGTGTCACACATCAGAAAAATATTCAAGTAATAAACATTGTTCCCGATTTTTACTGTAGTTCATTATTCCAACTATGCAGTTCTCACTTGAGAAAAATTATTTAGTTGAATGTAATGAGCCTGATGATTAATTGTTTATCAACTTCTACTAATTACCCTTTGCTAATTTGTTATTTATTCCATTGTTCTGCTCTAATTTAAATGTTGAACGAGTTCTTTAATATTAAATCTCATAATACAATTATATGGGAACAAATTTTATTTTACTGTAAAAAACAGCAACTATCAACATAAGTTTTGTTGTTGTTGTACATTTTTACGTTAATGTTTATATGGATGAAGCAATAAATGAGTTAATATTATTTTGAAGCTGATCATTGGAAAATTAATACCTTTTTTTTAGATTTAACATTAAGAATTTTTTTAAATGAATTAGTATGTGTGTGTGTGTGTGTATGTATGTATATGTAAAATTTTTCCACCAGGATACTGCGGGATCAGAAAGATTTAGAACACTGACACCTAGCTACTACAGGGGAGCTCAAGGTGCAATACTTGGTAAGTTTTTTAGTGCTTAAACCAGTATTGATGAAACAGTTATTTCTAAGTAGCTAATTTTCTTTACAGTTTGCTAGGTTACAGTACAAGATAAAATCTGTAACAGCTTAAGTTGTTTATTTTACAATAAAGATAACCTCCTTTATTACTGGGGGGGAGTATATAGGTATCTATGTTACCCCTTGATTTTTGATTATCCACAGCAGAAGAATAGTTGATCAAATTGTATATAAAAAAAGGGGGGCAAATTAACATAATGGTACCTAATGTCAACTTTTTAAAAATTCTCATAATTTGATTCAGTTTTTCTTTTGTATTTTGTCATGAAATTTCCAAAGATTTGCCTCAACACTTTCAATCATTAAGAACTCCTGACTTCTCAAAATGGAGTCAAGTCAGGCTAAATAACAGTATTTTTGGTGACAATATTTTTGAACAAAATCAATTTATATCTAATAACTATAATTCCTTTCCTATAAATTATGATTTTTTTTTTTATGTGCGATGGATAAATGAGGATTTGAGTCATCAGAATATTTTGCAATCACGTAGGACACTCTCTCAGCTTAGTAAGGTTTATCTGATAACTGTAGCTTTCAAGTAAATATAATTTAACGTGAAAACATTTGTAAGAAGCAAAGGAACTGTAAAAAAACTGGATTGTTCCCAAGTCTTCTAAACTTCCATGAGCATGGTATTGCCACTTTCCTAGAAAACCATAAATTACCTCTCACATCACTTAAAGAAAATATTTTATAAACATCTCTATCCAGTGGTGTTTAAACTTTGCCCTTAGATATTTTTCAAGTTGAGCTACAGTTAATAGTAATGCTGGTCAAGTGCTGTGATGTCATAAAAGGGTGGGAACAGAGTCCAACTAATAAAATCAGAAAGAAAATGGAAATCAAAATCATGTGACAAAACTTCTAGTAAGTATAAACCTATGCTTTGGTATGGGAAACAAACTGAGAAAGTTGATAACTATTGTTTACAGTCAAAGCTCCAATAAATAATACACATATCTGTTGTTTACTTGTGTACTTAAAGGGCTCGTGCAAGACAGCTTTCAAAACTCAAAATGAGTGAGTGAACCTAACCTCTATGTCCATTAATGCACTTAATTATCAACAGAAATCTTGTTTCGATACAATATGTATGTCTGTCTCTAAGAATGTTGTAACTAGAGGCTTAATGTAGTCAGTGCATCTTTTTACTTAATCTGCCAGGAGACATTGTAAAACAAAATTTTCTTAATATAATTATTAAAACTTACTAATGATGTGAAAAAATGAGCATGTTAAGAAATTTTATGAATTTTATCATGCTTGAATACGTTGTGTTTATTGAGATAAAGATCCTCACATAGAATTTGTTTTGATATTGATCATCGTACTGTGAGAATTTAATTTGGTTGTGAATTAGGCTATCATATTTATTTGGTTTGTTTTCTTCACTGTCATTTAGCATTAAAAATATCTTCCAACTGTTGCTCTTCACTTCTCATATTTTCAGGTCATCATCTTCATGAACTTCATCCACTAATCTTCATTTTTATGACTGCCTTTAAACCTTATCTTCACCCTTTTCCTTCATTGTAATCATCTCTGTACCCGGCAGATGTGTGTAACAACCCAAAATTAGTTCCACTTGTTTTTGCACAGACAGTTACAAATATTTCTACCAGATCTAACTTAACTCTAAGATTGTTTACTCCTTTACTTCCTTGGAGACTTGAGGTTTTTGTTTTAGACCAGGATTGTGTCCTGTTCATTAAACTAATATTTATCTTTTACCCTAATCACAGAGACAGAAATTACCAGAGGAACCTCTTACTTGTGGCCCTGAAATATATGTCTTGTACAGGGTAGTCGCTGATATTTTAGAGCTGTGTTTATTGGTTGGAGTAAACATACTTCTTATCAAGATAGACATAACGTTTAGAGATTTCTAATTTGTTTATCCCCAACCATCATGTTGCAGTAGAAGTGTTCCGTTTTCATGGCCTAGTGTGACGATTTTACTAGTTTAGTAGTTTGTAAGCTGTAATTTATCTACTTGTAAAATATATGTCAGTAATTTCCTGATTCCTAATATATTTTGTTGAGGGTACTTCCACAGACACACTTGCTATTAGGTGATACAGATATGTGTTTGTTATTATGGTGTCAGTAATAAAATGTTAACAAATTATCATCCTAATTCTTCGGGGTTGTTTTTTTTTTAAAAACAGTTTAGTATATGCACATACACTTTAGAACAGTTGCACATTTATTTTTAGCACAAAATAATTTGCAACAATTAGTCTGGCTAAACTGGGGTTAATATTTTATTTGTAGTCCATAAGAAATAACTGAATCAAAATACAAAAAGTATAGAAGTTTTTTGGTTGCTACTAAGGGTTTTATTTTGATGGCTAGTTTCAGAGAACACCGTCATTCATCAGGTTAGTATAAAAGTAAAAAATACCCGATTGTTTTACAATTATATGAAAAAACATTTTGTATGATCTGGTTTATAAGTATAATAAATATAAGCCTTTTTTTTATTATTCTTCATTATAGTTTATGATGTTACCAATAGGACAAGTTTCCAGAAGCTGGACTTGTGGTTAAACGAATTAGAGACATACTCTACAAAGAGTAACATAGTCAAGATGTTAGTTGGCAACAAGATTGATAAGGTAATTGATAAGTAAAAACTGTGATACTCACTGTGTGATAATTACCAGCTAACAGAAATTTTCATACTCAAATATTTATTTTTACATCTTTCCCTGAAGTACATAACTATTGCCGAAATAAACAGTTACAGTGAAACATTAAGAGTATTAAAACAAAAAGTAATGTGTGAAAATGAGAAAAACAAGACCACCTGGTTTGTCAAGAAAAAAATAATAGAATAAAAATCAAAAGTAAACTGAACAAAAATAAGTTTGGAACATTAAAAAGTAAACAAAACAAAACAATAAAATGAATACATAAAATTGCTTCTATCTTTTTCTTTCTTTTTTTTTTTTTGAGGGTGTATGATAAGAAATGAAACTAGTATTTTTTATTTTTCTGTAGTTGTGTGTTTTAAAATGATGATAAAATTTGTTTCTGTTTAATTTAAGACATCAATGAACATGATGCTTATAGGGAAGAAGTTTTAATTGGAAATTTTAAAAAAAATTGTTTTTTTCCAAAAGAATTAATTATCCCTCTGTTGAATTTTACTGGTTTTACATTTTTATGTACATTTTTTTTTTCTCCAATAACATGTTAATATCTTAAAAAAACATTTGGGAAATATAAAGTAATAATAAATATTTCTCTTTTATTGCTTTAATACAAGTGGTTATGAAGTGTAAAAATTATGTTTTTCATGTTAGATAATTAATTAAACATAGCTTTATTTAGAAACACATTTAAAGCTTAAAATTGAAAAAACAAACAAAAACACTTTGGTGTGTCATTTACTAAAACTTCACAGTATACGCAAATGACCTTGAGCAAGGTTATTTATGTATTTATTGACCATGGTTAACACTAGTATTATTGGCGGGTTCTATATATTATTTGGCCTGGCCAGGTGGTTAGGGAGCTCGACTAATAATCTCCTTGTCTCAGCAGACATGCTCACCCTTTCAGCTGTGGGAGTGTTATAATGTGACAGTCAATCCTACTATTCATTGGTAAAATAACAGCCAAGAGTTGGCAGAAAATGGTGATGACTATCTACTTTCCCTCTAGTCTATCACTGTTAAGTTAGGGATGGCTAGCACAGATAGCTCTCGTGTAGCTTAGCGTGAAATTCACAACAAACCAATCCTATTTATTATCCACCAATTTGCATACGGGTAAAAAAATAAAAACATGAACATCGCAATTAATTGTACAAAATTATTTTAAATTAATCACTGACCCAATTGTTTGGCTGGTTCTTGACACCATGTGTTGTAATAGATAAAAACAGAAAATTACTCAATATGTAGACCTCACTGAGAGTGCATGATATTAAAAAAATAATAATTTGAGGGTAAACGTACTAGTTAATGGTTAGAAATGCAGAAAATTTTGAATATATTTAAGTTTGATTAGTCAGTAAGAATAAAGAATACTTTGATATATATACAGTCAACCTTTGAAAAAAGCATTGCATTGATACTTTATACAGTTTGAAACAATTGTTACTTTCCAGTTGATGAAGGATTTTTCTGTGACAAAATCAGTGTATTTCAATATTTCATTATGGTCCATCATATCAGTTGAAAACTGTATTATGATCTGCAAAACATATTTAAAGAAGTAAGGACTGCCTTGAGATAAAATGTTGTATAAAAGATATCTGTGCCTTATGTAAGCTTGGCCATGTTTAGTGTACCTCATGTTCGTTAACTTGCACTGGTTTTTCTGCTCTTATATAGGAGGCTAGAGTGGTTACTAGAGAAGAAGGAGTGAAATACGCACGAAAACATTCCATGCTGTTCATCGAAGCTAGTGCTAAAACACGAGATGGAGTTCAGTGTGCCTTTGAAGAACTAGTTGAAAAGGTTGGTTGTGTGTATTGTATTGTATAGCATGTTACACAAAACTTGAGCATATAAGATCAAACAAGCTGAAACTTAGAAAATAGTTCGAAAGCTCGTAACACTAGTCAGGGGTGGTCGTCACATGTAAGCTTATGATATTAAACAGCATATTTCATTATATTAAATTACATAGTCTGATCCACTTGTTTAAATATTCTATTTGTATAAAAGAATGTCTTGGCTGGACATGCTGGCAGCAGTTCTTAACCCATTAACTGCGATGACGGATATTTCCGTCATTGAAGTTCTATGGCTCAGCTGCAATGATGGAAATATCCATCAATCGCACATATATAACTATAACTCTATGCGAATGACGATAATTACCATTTTAATGTGATTAATGGCAACTCAGTTTTATTTGTGAGTCAGAAAATGGCAGCAGTTAATGGGTTAAACTTCATACAATACAGTCACTGTCGGTATAAGTGCATCATTTTTTAAAACTCTAATCAACATCTGGTACATCATGTAAAATTAAAATATTAAACACCATTATCTTCAAAATGTAAACGAGCAAAATCAAACAGGTTGGCCCAAATGTAAGTTCTGTTAAACAGGTCAGTCCTTTTATATGTATATACACGCATAGGATTGAAATATTAAACAGGTTTATCCTCAGTTGTAATCTTGTAACATTGAACACCATGGTCCACAGAATTTAACGTAGTAAAATATAATGGTCTGGTCTTAGATAGAGCTGGTCTATTAGTGGAGTTTGCCAATTGATTAATTGTTAGGCTTATTAATTGATTACATTCAACTATTTGATCATTTTTCCCATGAAACTAATCTTTCTATTTTTAGCTTGTTTTGAGTTTCTTTACAGACATTTTCAAACTACTTTTCATTTGATATAGTAAAAATCTTCAGGAACAAAAACTTAGGATTAAGTTACATTTTACTCGTACATGAAAATGTATCATAGGAAGATGAAAATATGATTAATACTTTTCTGTAGGTTTCTTCCTTCAAATTTTCACAAGACTACTAAAACTAAGTAAACTAATACATTAAAAATAATTTTCCGTAGATGTAACATGATAAGTCTAGTAAAATTATTTGTCACAATGAGATATAAATAATCTAATATATTCAGTGAAACAAATATATGCTGATCCTAGAACAATAAAGATTACAACATTTAAATAATCCAATATATTCAGTGAAACAAACATATGCTGTTCCTAGAGCAATAAAGATTACAACATTTAAATAATCTAATATATTCAGTGAAACAAATGTATGCTGATCCTAGAGCAATAAAGATTACAACATTTAAATAATCTAATATATTCAGTGAAACAAACATATGCTGATCCTAGAGCAATAAAGATTACAACATTTAAATTTGGCAGGAAAATGTATGATAACATATGACATCTTTGCAGATTTGAAATGGTTCTCAAATTAGAAATTAAAGTGTCATAAAAAAATATGGTATTTAAGAAGTCTAATTACAGATGTTAAGAAATTTCTTTTTTTAAGTTTCATAACCAATGTGAAAAATCTCAAAATTTTTATAAATTTTTAATAATGAAAAACATAAGCCTTTAACTTAATGTGTATGTGCATGGGGTCAGTCCACTGGTCAACCCCGTATTGGACAAGTAAACTAAGATTCCAAATTTACAGAGTGAAACTTATGAAATGTGATGAGCTTTTAGTCAACAGTACATAAAAAATGTGTTACCACAGTTTTTGTACGAAAAATATGTATGTGAAATGCAGACTCAGACTGACTAGTTGATGAAGAAAACGTGTATTTGTCCATCATGTAATTTTGTAGGTTGTATTCGTATAACTTCTACAACATCCTAATTGCATAGCTAAAGTTTTTCAGCATCCCTGTATATTGTACCAAGTATTTTTTTTTAGCATTAACTGTTGCAAAATCAGCAGTGTAGGGTTAACATGAAATGTTGATAACCCTGACGTCAAATGTATGACACCAAGTTGAACAGCATTCTGCATAAAGTAGAGACATTTACTCTTTGACCCCACCTGCTCACATGTGGTTAAGCAACAAGCTGCTGATATTGACAGGAATTGACCACGTTGAACAGCATTCTGCATAAAGTAGAGCCATTTACTCTTTGACCCCACCTGCTCACATGTGGTTAAGCAACAAGCTGCTGATATTGACAGGAGTTTAGAAAGAAAGAGTTAAAATCATTGTTTATATTTTATAGCACAGACAAGAATAAACTGTAAAAACATGTGTATGCTGAGAAATTGGTAAATCAAAAAAACTTGAAAGATTAGTATACGAGGCAGCAAGTAACGACAGCAGACTTTTGTTTTCCCTTTCCAGTGTTTCCCATTGAGGTTGAACTGGTTATAATTGAACAAAAGTTCTGATAGTGTAAATGCATTAATAACTAAACAGTGTAACGTATTCTTAGACTGTTATTAGCTCCCATTCAGTGCTTTCTGACAAATACAATTAAATGAGCGATCAACATTTTATTTTAGTGAATAAAGAATAATGAATATTACCTTGCCATGAAAACAACCTTACCATAATTATAACACTCATTATGTTTGTAGTTTGTAATAAGTAAGCAATATGTTAAGGTACAGCTACACTGTTTTGTAGACTTGCAATGTAAACACACGCAAAACAAGTATCATTGTGGCTAGTTAAGAAACCAACAGCCACTAGACCACACCCTCAGATTCATGAGTTATGTACAAGCAGAACATATAAATACTGTTGCCTGCAGTCATGCAACAAATAATAATAACTAATTTTTAATTACTTTGATAGTTGGGAAAATTGAAAATTATAATAATTAGAAACACTAATTTGTTGACTAATTTTGTGAACCATGACATCGATTTGATTTTTGTTTTGAATTTCCTGCAAAGCTACACAAGGGCTAATCTGCCCAACACCAGTTGAATAAGCTGACCATCCTCGAATTGATCCAAAGTAATAATGGCAATATTTCAGTTACTTTGATAGTTGGAATAATTGAAAACAGTGATAATCAATAACAATAATTAATTATTATTGTGACATTAACCAATTTAATCATAATGTTGATTAACTGATTATTTTATTAATTGATGCTCATAGCTAATAAGGTTAATTACCCAGCTCCAGTCTTAAAGCCTTAAGTTTGTTATATTAAACATATGCTGCAAAACATGCTCAACTCTTGGGTGCATTATAAAAGTGACAGTCAATCTGCTATTCACTAGTAGTTGTGTAGTCAGCATGTACTGTTGACTGGTTGCCTTCCCACTATGGTCAGCAGTTCCAAGTTAGAGATGGTTATGCCTGAACCTTGGGCTATCTGACATGGACATTATGTGCGTGTGTGTCATATTAGATGCCATTCAGGCAAAAAATACTGCAAAATTTAAGTTCGTAAAATTGTAAACAGTTATTGAAACGTGTTATCATGTACTATTAAACAAGGTGAACTTAAAAAAGTAAGCTTAAATTAATAAATATGGCAGTCAAGAAATTAAACCATAAGACTGATTATAATCGGATTGTCTGTAACATCACTGTATATTATTTATGGAGAACTTACTTTGGTTGTATTGGCTCAGAGCAAGTTATTCTGGCAATTTGAGGATTCTAATAGCTGTTATGAAAATTATGTGGACTGATTGTTTTAATCTGACTAGCTATGATTTGAGATCTTCAGAGACCTCTGTAATATTAAATAGTATAGTACATTGATTTTGTTTTATAATAGTGAACACTTTCATTCCAAAATTTAAGACCTTTTTTTTTTATATATATAAACATCATGTTTTGAAAATGGTTTAATATTAACCAACCATTATAATATTATTTATTACTATTTCCTTGTGGAATGAATATAAAAATAGAACTTAATAAAGTTGCCTTCAGTATTATTAGGCCCTTTCTTATTGTTCTTTGGGTGCCAGGGTTGTCTGAAACTTGCGTGTTGTCCTTTGCATGCTTTTTGAAATGAGTAATGTTGTATTTCGATATTTCTTTTCTACATCAGACTTTATGGACATCGTTACGTTGTCTTTTGTGTACAGTATTGTTTTTGTTGTTATTTCAAAACTTGCATAAAATAAAAATCTGATGACTAACATATTCTTGTTATAGATAGCATAATTAAAAAAGTAAAATAAACTTTTTTATGTAGAGTTGGTGATCTTTTTGTACTGTATACATTGCCTATTAACATTACCTTTCTGTAAGATTTCCCAAGACATCAGTTGTACAGTTTTTTTTTACACTTTTATAAATTATTTTGTTGTTATTGATTTAAAAAAAGTTACTGTTATAAATACTTGTTTTCATTGTAATGTTTGTATTTTCTTTAAAACTAGATAATTCAGACTCCAGGACTGTGGGAAACTGACCAACGATCAGAGCTACGGCTCAGTGACGGTGCACCAACACAACAGGGAGGTCAATGTGGAGGTTATTGTGTTATATAAGGTCAAACTAAACCAGTACTGTGCTATCACAATTACGTCGTGCAGATGACCAGTTGAGGCTTTTCTCTTCTAGGACATTGAAACGGAAACATGGGTGGGATTTAGAATTCAAAGCCAGCCAGTCTTGTCAGTGCTGAGCTCTGAACTTTCAGTGAATTTTTTTCTTTGTAATTTATGATCAAGAAATGGCCATGAGCTGATAAACTTTTGAGATGTGCTCTTGCAAAGAATCTATGGTGGTTTAATTCATACATTATTATTTAGTTAAGTTTAGGTTTAATATATACATAACTGCTAAGTTTTAAATTAGTTTATTATGAAATAATGCTTTTATCTTATGTTTGCATTGCATATCGTATTAGCTACCACGAATAATCTCTTCTACTACTTGTTCTGATGTTAACTTCATTTCTAACGTGTAATCCATCTTGGTACAGTACTTAAGAAACAGTAGGTGTTACTTGTCATGGTGGTTTATTGTCAAATGTACAGGTTTTACAAGTAGAAAATGTATTAATATTAACTGGGCATAGGTGTATTGAATTAAAAATGTGAAGACCAGTTTTCAAGTTTTTGTCTGATCTAAAACTTGGAAAACCTGACACGAACTATAAAAATTACTTTACTTGATTTTTTTACTCTCATCTATTGGTCAAACTACATATCGCTGAGCTTGCCATAATCATCATGAAAAGTTGGTAAAC